TTACAAATGCCAACAAGCTTTGGAGCAGACTGCAGCCAATTCAACAGACTGTGTGTTCTGGTATTTTTCTTGTTAAGTATTTCCTCAGCCTGTAGCGTTTTACAGAGTTCAACGTGGCCACGGGACCCTGTTGCAACCCAGCCACCTGCAGTCCCATGGAGCTCCATAGGGTTCCTGGAAGAAGCGGTGCCTCCCCGCAGCCCTGTGCCTGGGGAAGCAAAAATTGACACTTCTGCAACAGCCTCTTGCAGCTTCCAGAAACCTTTGCCTCGGGGGCAAAAAAAAAATAATAAAAAAAAAAAACGGAAAAGGAAAAAGAAGAGAAATCCTTCTACGTGTGTACGTGAAAATACTGAGCCCTTTTTAACATGCTCATCCATCATTTAGGCCTCAGCCTGATTTCACGCGTACAAATAATCCCACTAAAGCAAGGTCCACACTGAAGTGCTCTACTAAGTCGGGTTCTATATGTTTTTTCCCATCTCAGTTCTCAGCTTTCAGCACTGTTACACCTTTTCCTTCTGGCTGATTATTGATTCTATGATTCTAAAAGCCATTTCTGCTGACGAGCCTGAGGGTCCAGAACACTTTCTTACATCGCTCAAGACTTTGATTCAATATCGCATTGTTGGGGGTTTTTTTCATTAGTGAATTTTAATGCAGGTGTCGCATCTAATCTACTGTGACTATTATGAATGGTGAAACACTCCCTTGTTCGAAACAGGGATAGACGACCCACATAGTCACATTTTTGATTCAGGATGTTTTTGTCGCTGCTGTTTTAGTGAAATACTAGTGGGAGTTTACACCAGACATGACTTTCTAGGGTGTGTGCTGCTTTTTTTTTTTTCCTCCCTCAGTTTAATTTATTAACAGTGTAAATAACCTCAGAGCAGGAATTTATCAATGCGTATGCAGGCTGCACACCGGTGAGCTGGGAGCAACTGCTCAGAATAACTGCTGGTGAAAGCAGGTTTTTGACTACTGCAAGGTAAAAAACCCAAACCAACTGCAGCAACAGAGCCTACGTTTAATAATTCTGTCACAAACCAGCGTATAAACAGATTCAGGCAGTACCTAGACAGAACTGGGTATTTCCCTCCGCCCCACCGCCATCTGATTTCACTGCAATACAGAGAACTTAATGTTCAAAATACAAAAAGCCTTACGCGAGGGCAAAGAGGCAACACTTCAGGAGAGCCTGGGTTAGGTGTCGAATGCGTGAACATCCCTGACACATTCTATTTTGTGCTGTGGCGTCACCACACTTTGCTGATGTAGAAATGGTCTTCTGATGCTCATTCAGCAGCTGCGCGGTATAAAAATCACCCCTGAAGCGGGTTTGATGGCCTGTATTGCTGAAGAAGTCATGTACTGTGTTACAGAGGCAGCAACCTGAGGTGCAAGGCTTGAACCAAACCAGTGCAGAGCTGCACCATAGATGCCAAGAGCAGCAGAAGTCAAGGACCACAAAGAACCAAGGCCTAAATTCTGCTAAGAGCTGTGACCTGCTTTCCACAAACATGGCAGCTGCCCAGTAAAGCTGCAGATGATGGCGCCTTTCTATAAATTTTTATGAAAATTATGTAGAAAAAACACTAGTATTCTATTATTGACAATTACAATGGTGAAAGGTAGAGCAGATCTCACGATTTATGGGCTAATCGCTGCTTTAAATGCGGATTCTCCGTGAAGTGTTTAAAGCCTAATGGTGAAATACTTGCGAGCATCTATTTCGGCAGAGCCGGGGATGAGATCGAGGTGACTACAGGCACAGTCCTGCCTCTGTGGCAATCGGAACTAGATCAGGAGGTTCCCTGCCATCTGCTACTGCTGCAGAAATGGTAAGAAGTTACCCTGTGCCGTGGGAACGTGATCTAAAAAGTATCCGAAAGTGTCACTGGGAAGTAGGGAGGGAGAGGCTCAAAGTGCTCCAAACAGCAAAGAAAAAAAAAAAAAGCTGTATTATCATTTCCTTGGGGCCAAATCTGCTTGTGAAGCGCAGTGCACAAATGTCACCACCTCTCTCCCCAAGCTTCCCCTTCCCCGCCGAGGGCAGCAGGTTGGCACCCGCATTGCTGCCGTGCCTCTTGCGGGGCTGACCCTCCATCCAAGGCTCTGCTTTCACCTTTGGTGTCCCGCCACATCACAGAGTTCACACAGAGCCTGTTCCTCTTCAGCTGTTGCTTTTGGAGGACTGTGATTATTTTCTCAGTATCGAGTACACACGGGATACAAGTTTATCGGTGTCCAAAGCAGAGGAGCAGGAAGACATCCCACAGGCAGCGGCGTAGTTCCTCCTGTGCACCTTCGGAGAGGCAATGATGATAGGACCTGCCAGTTTACAACAGCTCTTTATTTTACTCATTATTATAAAACATCATCACAGGGCTTCAGTTAAACAGTGGTCACCTGTTTGAAATCATGAGCTTCGTTTTCCCCTTGATTATAAATACTAACAAATTAACTATATTTTCCATCAGCAATACCATAAAAACTAACCAGACATATTTTTCAGTGATTCCCTGATGTAAAAATCCTGGAGAATTTGAAGTAGATCTCTATATTGTATATACAATTAGTTTTACATATACCTATATCGAACCTCACCATTTCTGCGTATCACTTATTATCGTGATCTTTCACTTAATAAATTAGGTCAGCATTACGAAAATATGAACAACCATCTAGTTATTTTGCTGCTTTATAAGATATTTAATGATTGAATAGAGAACTGCAAAATTACATTAATGCAATGGGAAGGCATGTACACGTTCACTTAAGATTGCCACATGGACTTTTCTTATTCCAAATTTTTCTTCCACATTTTAGAAGTCCTTCCAGCTACCTCTTTCTTTGAACATACACACACACACACACAGAAAGTTATGAGGTGCGTGCATGTATTATACATTACATACCATATGCAATTCTATATATATTTGTAAGCAAATATACGTAAATTACTCTGAATATACATATCGTATGTAACACACATCTATATCCACAGAGAGAGAGAGATCGCAGGTGTGTGTATGCATTAGACATACAGCTGTATGCATAAATATGTAGATATAAATATACGGTAGACTCTTCCCTCTGATACGTAAGGGCTGCTCTTTCTGAGAACTGGGTGCCTTCCACGGAAACCTCCTGCCACCGACACGACCCCCTCGATTCCAAAGACAGCAGCAAACCTGTCCCTGACCTGTTCCTCTGCAGCGAGTTTCGGCTCCTGCCTCGTGAACTCCAGTTCATGCTTTGAAATGGACCCATCTTGTCCTTTTGGGGTTTTTAAATCACCACGTTAAACCCACTATTAGGTACTTGAACAAAGAAGCAAGAGCACTTCAAAAATAAATAAAAAAAAATCAACACAGGGTCTGATTCTTCTCCTGCCGATGCCTGTTTTATCCTGGTGTGACTCGACTGCCCGAAGGGACTGCTGCACGCCGCGAGGAACCTGTGAGTAGCACGAGGCTGCTTGTCTCAGCTTTAGAGCGTCATTCGCATAGACTGTGCGTAGGTTGAACTGTTTATTTTGCATTTGGATTTGTGAGGGAAAGCACAGGCCTCTTAGGGAAAGCTACAAGATGGATGTTCTCCAGAAGTAAGAGCACAGTTTACACATTCTTAAGTGAAATACGTCCACCATATAACCTTTGGGTTATTTTTTTAATTTGTTAGATAAATATTTACTTACTGAATCTGTTTCTACTCCTATGCGCCTGACCAACTAGAACAACTCTTTCTTAAATGTTTTAGAATAATACTCTGTGTATTAAAAATAGATACTAGAAGTCTGAAACCGGTCACTGCTAAAAAGCAGATCTTGGATCCTGCAAAGAACCCAAGTACCTGCCTGAAAACTGGCATTTGAGTAGGTCCGCAGACGGCCTTTACTGTGAGTGATGCCTAAATATTTGTAGAATCAAGACCTTTTATTATTCAAAGGTTGAATTTGGGATCTCACACCTGAGAACACGTTGTGGTTGCTACCATGAGTAATTCCCACCAAGGATGATGTTACACCTTATGGCAATAGCCGGAGCGGACTCTGAGGGCAAGAGAGACCCAACTTTACTCATGTACGAAAAGTGAAGGTGGGACGGACTCTTTAAACAGCAAAGAGCAATGAGTACCAACAAATCTTCCCAGACACATTACATTTTATTTCCCAAGAAGGCCAGCTTTACATTACACATTAATAACTTAGGCATATTTTTCTCCTTAAATATATGTGTATAACACAAAAAATAACAAATCTCTATTTTTAAAAATGAAATTTGAATTAAAAAGAAAAAAAATTGCTTTGGGACTGAAACTGGGTCCTTCAAATTTCTCCCACAGCAATTTACAGACAGGCAGGTTATAAAACCCAGAAAAGAGAAGGGTCTGTGTTTGGAAATGCCGACCCAGCCTCACCTTATGCTGCCATACACGGCTGTGCGGAGACGAGCAGGTGTACTTCCGCACACAGGTTGTCAGAAACCCTGCAGCTCATTCCCTATGAGCTCGTTCCGCTGTGAGACGTGAGATCGATTTGAATTGCCAAAACTGAACAAACAAACAAACGAACAAATGAAACTTGTGCTTCTAGGATGCCCTGACCCTGTTTGCAAAGCACCTGCCCAGCTTTGGCATCGCTTTGCCTTCCTTATTGCATGCCTGTTGACCCATTCCACGGCTGAAGTTTTAGCAGGTATATTGTATGTGTGTATATATTAAAGAAAACTCTCAAAAGAATTGGATTTCTGCAAACTGGATTGGTGACTTTTCTTCCTCTGCAGATTTCCTCTTTTTGCAGGGCCTAGTGCTACTTTGGTTGAACCCAATGGGGAAAGTCCCACTGAAGTCAATGGTGGAGAAGGAGCTGTTAAACATTCAAAGACCTCTCCAGCCCACCTCTTTGTGATTCCCTCTCTCACAATAATTTTAGAAAATGTGCCCATTATCACCAATCGGCAATGTTAAAATTCACTCTTTTTTTTTTTTTTTTAATACAAACAACATTTACCACAAAAATATGAAGGAAAAAGCCATCAACGTCTTTGCGGGTTATTACCTAGTCGTAGGACACAAAAGAAAAAATCATTTACAGTCACAAACTGTACATAGTATTTGGTGGGGGACAGTATATTTGTGGTTTAGAGTAAAAAAAAGGATTGCTTCGGTGGTAATTAAAATAATTATTGACAAGATGTAAGACTTTAAAATCAAGAAAGTGTGATAATCTGGCTACACAGACGATCATTGGAATATGTCTAACATAGAGGTTTAGATAGTAGAAAGGTGAGCAGAGGGATCTGGGGAAGGAAAGACACCGTCATGCAGCACAGCACTAGTTCTTGCTCAGTATACTCTTCAGGCTTCTCTCCACTGCTTCATCCAACTCTTCTTCCAGCTCTTCCTTCTTGGACATGGCCAGTTTGGACTGATAATCTTTGACTATTTGGTCTATATACGGAGCGCTCTGAGTCCCGTGCAGCATCAGTGTCCACTCCTTCAGCACGCCCCGCTGCGGCAGGCTGCCGACAAACCCAATCTCTAGAGCCCAGGTGCCTCGGGGGTCTTCTCCCCACGTGTGTGTGGTCATGAAAGGCCATTTGTCAAAACCCACCTTGGAGTCGTCATCCCTGGGGCGCCGGCTCAGTAAAATGGACTTTGTTCCCATGGGAGAGGTCATGTTGATGTTGAGATCTCCTCGCCTAGTGGAATTCACAGTTATAACCGCCTGGACGTGTTCAAGGTATCGGACAAAGTTTTCCTTCCCCTCACAAGCATCAGTTGTAAGAGTGAGGACCAGCTTGCCGCTTGGTGGTATCTTTCTGTGGGTCAAAAGATAATCAAGCAAATTAAAAGGATATACACAACAAGGTACGGATCATGCTAAAGCTACTGGGTTTTGCTGCCTCACAGATACAAAAAAAGGTACTGTTTTCCTTATTCATACATGTAAAAGGAAGGAAATAATTGTTGCAAACTTAGCTAGAAAGAGCAATCTCTTTTTAGAAAATGATATCAAAACCTTAATTTTAAAATACATGATGAAATGTACACCTACGCAAAGAGAGAAGGAATACAATTAAGTAGTACATACTGCTCTTTAAGAAATAGTAACATATATTTAATAGCTGCCTTTACTTACCGCTGCTACACTGGGTAATTGCATAATGAAGTGTATATTCAGTAGAAGAACCATAAGCAGTCACTTGTGTCAGTCACACAAAAAACCAGCAGCAAATGGCCCTCTGGGGTCAGAGGAGCCAGTTGCACAGAATTTCAGTGAAGTCACATTCAAGCCTAAATCCTTCTGATGTGGAAACCAGCACAAACACTGAGGGCCACAGAAATGATCAACGGGCTGGAGCACCTCTCCTATGAAGAAAGGCCAGGGGAGCTGGGATTGTTTAGCCTGGAGAAGGCTCTGGGGAGACCTTTTTGTGGCTTTTCACTACTTCAGTGGGGATTTAGACCAGATAAAAGGAAGAATTTTTTTACACTGAGGCTGGTGAAACATTGGAACAGGCTGTCCAGAGAGGTGGTAGAATCCCCATCCCTGGAAACATTCAAGGTCAGGTTGGACAGGACTCTGAGCAGCCTGATCTAGTCTAAGATGTCCCTGCTTGGTCTCTTCCAGCTCAAACTATTCTACGATTCTATGGGATCCCAGTGTCAGCTCATTTGAAAAGTATTTTTCCATGAAGTTGCTCTCCTTGAACTGCTCCTGCTCCATGCCGAGGGAAGAAGTTGCACTTGTTTCCTGAGTTTCCAAAGTGCTACACCTTGAAGTCACAAGTTTCTTGGTTGTTGTTATTCAGTCCTTATGAAGGCAAATGCACAATTAACTGAAGGACATCTGCCCCAAGTATTCCCAGGAACCTAGACCTGCAGCTGGAACACAAGCACAGTCCTGCTGCGTCTATTTTGCGAGGATGCCGTCATCAACTAGAAACCAGATCCTTGTTACCAGCAGCAGAGAGCTGGACACCCGAGGATGCAACACCTGGAAGTTTGCGCCCAAGAGGAGGAAACCGCTTCACAGCTAGACTGCGCAGTCATTCCTGGCTGTTAATGGTCTTGCCAACACTTGCCAAGAGGATGAATTGCATACAACAAGGAGAAACGTTACAACGGCTGGTACTCTTGACTCTCCGCGTGGCGGGCACCTGTGGTGTGGTCGCTTCCCACGCAGCTGAGGAAACCTGGGAGGCAGCACCGCTTCCACAGCGCAGCTCCAAGCCTGCCAGGAACAAGGAACAGCACGCTGGGGGAAAGAAAGCTGCATCCACGCCTGCCCAGCTCTTGCAGGGGAAGTTGACAGCCATCACTGACCGCCTGATAAACCCCTCGGGGTCAGGATTCGACTGGCAATTGCCAGTTGCCTCAGAAAACGGCTGGCGAAATGCCCAGGGAGTGTAAACAAAATTCTCTGTGTCTTCACCATCAGTGAGCAGCGTGACACTTCCCTCTGTCTAAAAGAAATACTTGAAAGACAAGGATTACTGCAATCATTAAAAAAGGGAGTAAGTCACAAAAGACTCCAGTCAGCTTGTCACTACCTCTTCCAGTGGCTTCTCCATGACCCAGATTTCGCAGCAAAATAAGCAGGAGAGTCCCTTTCAAAGGGCATTGACCACGTTACAGTAATGAATTATCTTCAAAAGAGATGAGTACCAGCCCTTTCACTTTCCTAATGAAATAGTGTGTTCTTCAGAGACCAGCAAAAGCGTTTCATTCAAGCCTAGCTTCCAGGAATTCTCTTCTTGAGATGAGTTCCAGGTATTACAGCTTAGTACACCACTAATTGGCTCAGGCCAGTCTCTGCCCCACTTTCTTGGAGTATTACCTTCTCGGAAGTACTTGCAGAGTAAAAAGATGTTCAGGGCCACGTCCTCCGGGCACTTAAACACTTACCTTAAACTGAAAAGCCTGTGTTGTTCTGAATCTTACAGATGCCCTGGAGCAGAAGCTGGTATAACATAAATATTGTATAGCTAAAATATTTCACCATGTAATACCCTCAAGATTTATCTGGTGTGCCAAAGCACAAGGAAAACACACAAGGAAAATGTACATGCCGGCCAGAGGTGAAGAAGCATAATCTCACAGTTGAGAACGATCCTATGGTACTGCAGTGTAGTTTTCATTTCCAAGGAATCTCTAGAGATGCTGAGACTTCACTAGTTTTATTTACAGCATAATTCAAAACCTGTAGACATCACAAGCAGTGATGCTCATCTCCTGTCAGAGGCATTTTCACTGAGGGACGTAAATATTACAGCACTCCTATTAACATATAGATGTGTTGGGTAATTATAGGGGGGCACCCACACAGACCACACACAGTAGAGTTGGGAGGTTTAGGTGGTGCCTGACCTGGCTGAACGTTACAGATCTGGGCGCTGCTCTCAGAAGACACCAAGGCAGGGCAGCCTATCTCTCAAGCCTGAAACTTGTTGGGCAATGACAGCTACTGGGAAGCTTTCCTGCGCTTCCATATCCCTGGGCTGGAGGAAATGCACCATCATCACCTCTGCTTTTGTATCCATTCAATGGCAGAAATGGGACAGAAAAGCAAAGGCCGAAGGAGGCGACACCACTGCACGGCAGCTGCCCGACTCTGTTGCCAGAACTCCTCTAGCACTTTGTCTAATGCATGGAGCCAAGCCTACAGACGGTAATTTTCTCTCCTCCTCTAGAGATGATCCCCATTTCCATAAATGAGGCCGCAGTAAGATAAATGAGATTATTCGTCTGCATTTAAATTATGAATAAACTAGAGATCGCTCAAAGTTAGCGTCAGCACTGCCTCATTCGTTTCCTACCTGTGAGCAGGCATAGGCCAGTTAAATTAAAACTCAGATCTCAGCTGTAGAGACTTGGGTCCTGCAAATACAAACTGGAAGGCTGGGAACAAACTCACTCTTTGCCTGGCTGAGCTATGTGCTTGGGTGATGCACTGGTTTTTGCTCTGTTTTTCCAACAGAATAATGATGCTATCAAAAATGGCACTAAAAGTCAAATTTCAAATCACAGAGACATAGATTTGCCATTATTAGGTTAGTATTTCAAATAATTAAATTGACCTATAGCTGTTGCAGTCAATTAGTATTAACTCATTCACTTGTTGACTCATTCACTCGAGCACATGAAGGTAAATCAGAAAATAATTTGACTACCTAGATGGCAATTAGAGATTTGAAGAACATAAACCAAACACAATTAAATGCTGCAGAGTTCAAACTGCATCACTGGTACCTGCAGATGACTTTTTCAGTCTTTTGGAGATAAAACTGTCTGCTGGAATATGTCACAAGGAGATATGACCTGGCTGACAGATATTTCATGTGGCAGCAGTTTATGTAATTTACAGTGCCAGCCCTCCAGATTTTCACTCGTGCACAGGCTCCCTCTTGACAGAAGCTCTGGCACAAACAAACCTGTAAGTACCCAGGAGAAATGGATGTTGCTATTCACACTGCTGGCACTAGCAAGGATGATGCAGGTGAGCTGTAGAACGTACTCCTCCAGCAAACCAGGAATTGAATGATCATGTCGTTTATTTTATCAACTTATTGAAATATCTGAATGCTACTGGTAACGCTAGGCTTTCTTAGAAAATAAAAAAATCTTTATGTTTTTTTACTACCTATGCATTTGTCACTGTATTTGCATGCTTGTAGCCTCCTGAAAGCCTGGAGGAAGGCAAACACATAGATCGTTCACTTACTCAGGTTCCTGTATTGACCCTCCGACACAATGGAATCTCTCGGGAACAGTCTTCCAGTCTTTCGCCATCTTAACCATTGCTCCCGCATCGAGGACACCATAGCCAAACAAATGGTTGAATTCCAGCCCAACGCCATTTCTACGCCATTGATGAACCTCATCGTGAAGCTGGTTCCTCTTGGAGGTGAGCACTGTCAGATGTTGCATGTCTCTCCATGTCAGGTCCAAGCTGTGGAAGAGCAACATGGAAAACAAACAGTATTTCCAGATATTAAAAGAAGACAGTGTGTTTGAATAAGCCTTTTGATAAAATCTGCTTCTATGAATCACACAGAAGTTGTAGCTACACACATATCAAGAACAAAGCTTCTGTCGATTTCGGTGGGAATAAGAATAGCTTTTAATTGTATAGTACTTCCCCAAAAATATATTCCCCTACACCAAAAAATCATTTCTGATTGTTTCCCCATTCTTGAAAGCAACCGCTTTCACCTACACATTATAGACAAACCATGCAATTTTTAAGCTAATAAAAGGAGCAGGATATTATACCAGATCCTGAAAAGAACATGAAAAGGTCGATGACAGAATGGCACCTAGCCTTCCTGTTACATCCTGCCCTCTTTTCCTCGCTCCTTCTGCTCTTCCCACAGCCTCTCCAAGGTTCACCCAGAGAACCCCTGATGTGATGAAGCTGGTGAGCTATAAAAATCAAGGTCTTAGCAATTTTGGAAGTCTGGGAATACAGATACACGGACTCTTGAGTGGCTGTAGGTTTGTACTGCAGGTTACAGTAGAGGTTTGTCCCCTGTGATACACTAGCATGGATGGAGGCAGTAGAGTAACATTTGTCTAGATTCAACGATCACTTTTCATCACCAGCTCTTGTCTTCCTAGATTTGCAGCGATTATGATGACAGGAAGGGCACTTATAAGTTATTATTCTGGAAGCTTTAGAACTGACATTCTCATTCTACATAACTAAAGCTACTCCAGTTGTTCTATGATGAACTCTTTCAACATTACAATATGTCTGATTCAAACCATCAACCTAAAAGGATCCGCTTTTCAGCATTCTGTGCCCCAAGTAATAAGCGTGTGTGCATGTTGAATGTGCGCCAGAATAGCCAATTACTGTCATTTTTCCAAGGTGACACACATAGCCGAAAACCAGATATCGCTTGCATCATTCGTACTGAAACCTTTTAAGAGCTGAGAGACATACTGCAGGCAGCAGTTCTCTGCATGGGAAATGGGTAGCCATTCCTGTGAAGGCTGCTTTAACTTTCTATCTCCTCCCCTGCACCCCACCGCTTCTGGTCAGTGCTTGCAAACCAGGGGTATTAGTCTAAGCTCTACTCGTGATAGCTTGGCAAGAGTAATTCCAGTCTTCACGGATAGCCCAGATGAAGAGGAATGGTAATTATTACTGAGATACTAACATCGTAGTCCAGGTTAAACACTCAGTAGTCAGAAAATTCACTAAACCTTCGTATTTTCATGGCAATAATCAATGACCACATCGTGGCTGTCCCACGGAATGAATTTGATAGTAGAATGGTTGATCATCCCAAATTAAATGCCTGCCATGTGTGTTTTACCTGAAAAAATGAGACTTGGCCCAGCCATGTGCTGAGCACAACAATCATTGATCTGGTATTGATAGAAAATGTCTCCTCTGCTAGATCTTAATTTTTTCTGCATGTTGTTTAAGAAAACTATGTACATACAGTGCTCACTTCATGCCATGGTTACAGTAACTGAAGCCGTGTGCTTCAGTAAATGTATTCTCACTTCATAAAATGATTTAACACAAAGTCAAAAGATGGTATAGGTTATTGTAAGGAAAAAATTCATAATCATTGGAGAAGATAATGAAGTGAGATATACAAGGTGTCTCCAATGTCAGGAATAGCATGGAGATGGTAAATAGACAATGGAGATTTATTCCTTCATGTAACAGAGCGATTAGGTAGCACAGAAGGAAATCATCAGCAATAAATTAAGCAAAACCTAAGGAAACATTCCTCACCACCATTGCCAAAAAGTATTCTCACTGTGGAACTGATTGCCACTGGATGATACAGGTGCCAAACACAGAGAAGTTGAAAAAGAGACAAATCCAATGAGGATAAATCTGCCTGTGGGTATTAAGCAGGATATGCCAACCACTCGCTCTCCAAACCACAGATTTGCCAAACCTGTTGTTGAAAGATGACTCTTAATCCCTGGTTGTTGTACTCTCCTCCAAGCATCTGTCACTGCAGACAGTTTGTGGCACAAGAACAACTCCTGTCAGCTACTGCGTGTTTGCTCTAATGTTTTTGTAGGCTGGGCATTCTGCACTGGATATGTGGAGAAATTAAATAATGTCTCCCTCCAAACAATGCTGGAGAAGACAAACCCTTGGAAGCAGTGGATGGAGAGGACACAGAGAGCGAGTCAGCCGAGCTGAATCTGCTCTCTGGCTTTGGCAAGACCGTCACCGCTCCACTGAGAAGTTACCACGCGCGCCACTACTGTAGCAGGCAGCTTGTCTGCTGCTCGTTTCAGCCCCTTGCCACGGACAAGCCCCTTGCCAACCTGTACGATGAACGACATTAAACAAACTGCAGGCCCTCTCCTCTCTAGAGCTCACAAGGAATTTCTCAACAGCATACTTAGCCTCCAGGGCCAAGGCAAACACTCCGGCTGCCTCAGGGGCAGCTGCAGACGTTCCTGAGTGACGCAGGGTGCAGTTCCCATACAAATCTGTTGTAGCCTGCAACGACATTAGACATAATTAATGAAACGAGCTAGTTCATCTTCCTAGCAGCTACAGACTCAGAAAAATACAGAAAGCGCAGTTTGCACCCTTGCTCTTTAGAGTAATTGTGTATTTACTCCTAGAATCTGCTTTTTTTCTTTAGAATAGTGTATCAATTTAAAGACATTGTGACACGTGGTTACAGAATGTGTGAATGCAAGAATAAATCACGGTGCAGTAAAAGAATGTTCATTAACACTTAGAACTCGTAAACTCATATAGTTGGCATTTATTTCCTATAAACACAGTTTAACCAAAGGGTTTAAATTCCCTTGTGGTTATCAGAAGGATTTGAAACTAGAATTGTTAACAGTATTGGGCTTTCTAACATTTGTGCACCTCCAGAACCAAGGGCAGTACGAGGCTGTCATCTGCTATGCAGCTTAGTCACTAGAACAGACCAGAAGAAAACCTTAGAAATATATTTAATGGCAATAATTACAGAGGTGTCACAGATTATCTTGGCTGATATCAAGGCAGAAACTGGTATTTTTCCATTTGCTACTGCACATGGGCATTTAAGATTATACCGTATATCTCTGGGGTTTGAGATGGGTAACTCATGGAAAATGTCTTACCGCTTTTGGCAAAAACTAACCCTGAGTTACTACACTTGAACTTTCCACTCTGTCAATCAGATTATGTCCTGGCTAATCTGAGGGTGCTGAACAGCAGTGATCAGTACGGTGGAAGAGAATCCCAATTACACTTGAACAGCAACTGCCTATTTTCCAGCTGCAGGTATGGCCCTGTGAGGGACTTGAGTACGATGCTCCGCACTGCTCACCACGAGACTGAGGGTGATCCGAGCCCCCTGCATTTCCTCTGTGGGGGACTGAATATCTTTCTGCCCTGTGCAGCTTGTAGTACATCAGCAGTCTGGTTCATCATTTCTCTGCCCATCCAAGTAAGTATGATCTCAGATGCTGACACTTTTCATTTAGATTTTTACACAGACATTTTGTCACGCTGTCCTCTGTAAAGAGTGCAATTGAACACCTAAATCTGATTTCTCACAAAGGAAAGCACCAACGATATGAAGCTCTAAGGGATGGAAGATCATTGCTGTCCTCAATATTAATCCCACACCTCCTCAGCTAACAGTTTTGGCACCATCGTGTACTGCAGAGGAGAAAATACCCATCTCAACAAAGAACCATCTGCTGCCCCAAAGCAGACGGAGTTGTAATAGGTCGTGGGAGTGCCCAAAGACAGCAGCAAGAGCACAATAATATCTGGACTCACCACGCCAGCCTCCGGATTTCTCTTCCTCCCATTACTAAAGGTGGAGGCTAACGTTGAAGAGCAGCTTTCATCATACAGAGCTGTCCGCCCATCATTTATAGCAGAGTTGATGGAGATTGTCCACATGCTCGATGCATAACCATCACAGTTGCAGTCGTCGTAGCTGCCCCCATCTCCAGAGGCCCAGACATAGATGCTTCCTTTGCCGCCCCGGCCCTGTAAAATCAACCAGGTTAAACTGCAAATAGAAGACAGTAGCTACTTTAAACTGCATGTCTTAATTGCAAAGCTGGCATCTATAACGGAGATAGCTGGTCCAACCAAAATATGCATCAGCTTTAAGCTTCTGCAGGTTATGAAATCCGGTTAACTGGCAGCCACAGCCAGTTCAGTTCAGCAACCTTATGTACACAGAGCTCTTCCATTTATCTCTTGCTTTGCTTCACGCCCTAAAGGCCCCTGCACCAGATGCTAAGACGTTTTATGGATTCATTAGTGTTTATATCAAGGTCTAAGCGCTATGAGGACAGCGTTCTTTTAAAAGGGATATAGGTCATCTCATACGTTGGGTTTTTAAGATCCAGTTAGGTTCAGGCAACGGCTAAAAAATTCGGTAAAACAAGCACCTTTTCTCTCAATAGATTTTTTCCCCAAAGGTATCACTGACTCAGAGCTGTTTTTCTGACAAACCAGCTTCTAGCACTAAGCAGCAAATCAAGTTATGACACCATATAAATCATCTGCAGAAATATGGTCTACCAGTCACACTGAGGAGGCGAGAGATGGATGGGAGAGCCTGACGCTGAAGGGCAGCCATAAAGGCTTCCCACTAGTTAAGGGATCAAAATCCCTATCCTCTCCCCACCTTTCAGGTAGACCAGGCTTGAGAAGGGATCAACTCAGCTTCTTCTTTTCATCCCGTACAAAGAAAGAGATAGGTGCTGCCTGGAAGACGGTTCAACCCGAGAACCCTGACACTTGGGGCAAGATCAGTGTTATTGAACCCAAATCTCAGATCTCCCACCGATTTCAGCGCAGGAATTTCTCTCTGTGTTTAGTCCAGTGTAACCCAACGTTTACTTCCAACAACAAGGGTGCAAGGCCTTAATTTGCTTATATGCAGTGGGCAGAAGATAAAAAAAATCTCTTCTGCCTTCTTCATTGGCCAGCATGAAATGGAAGTTAAAGAATACACAAACACAGTGACACGCAATGGTATTTTAACAGGGAATCTTTTCTGCCAGGAATTTAAATCAAATCTGAGCTCCCAGCAGTAGCTTCAATTTTTCATCATCCCCCACTGAACAGAGCAACCTCATTATTTCAAGCATGTTAGCGAGTTGCATTATAATCCACTGAATCGCACAGCAGGTTTCCTGCCACTGGGGTATATAACATCTTAGGACATAGATTTTCATAATAAAGATGATGACTATGAAAAAGCTTACTGAAATCAGTCTAAGAACTCCCACAAAGATCTGAGATCAATCATTTGAGCTTCAAGGGAGGAGGATACTGTTGCAAAAAATACATACTCTAAGAACAAAATAATTCCAGCTAATTATTAAAAAAAAAAAAAAAAAGGAAAAGACTAGAGTAACAAGAACAGTTTTGGCTTTTTTTCTTTCCCCTTTGACTTTTTCCTCCGCAGGGCCCAACCCTGGGCTTTGGACTCACTTCAGAGGCTACATCCCACGCTTGCCACCATGCCCATGTACACCATCACACCACCCTGCCACCATCTGCCTCCTTTTTAGACAGCCTTGGTGGCAGCTTGAGCACATCTCTGTCTGTTTGTCCCCAAAAGGCTGCCCAGCACAGAGAGCAGGCAGCTGCTGGTGCCAGGAATAGGACATTCGGCATGTACGGACCCGTTCTTACACAACCTTTTCCTTCCAGCCATTTCACAGGGAGAGGAAACACTTCATTTTCATGTGATAAAATTCACAAAAAGGAGCTTGGTGCCTGGAAAACAGCCTCTGCAGCGCTCAGCATGGGGAAGGAGACTTAGCCCCGCTCAGCAAATTGTTCCATGCTGCCAAAATTGGGTATTACTGCAAAGTGTTTCACCCCACGTGTGGGATTTGTGGCAGAAATAGGGTGTAACGGATTGCTGGTAGGGAGCAGGGGGAATTCACAAGGGAACTGAAATTTGGGGGTGGAGTTGGCCTGGTGAGTGTTGCTGGGGACGGGTTTGACGCATGTAACGCGAGACTGGCCTCAGGATATCACTTCTATGAGAGTCACATTCACAAGCATGGCTTAGTGTTGAACCCCGTAATGCACCTTCTTCATACCCTAATTTCAATTGCCTTTCTTTTTTAGGACTGGAAAGAGGAGCAAACACTTCTGGAACAAACTGACAGCAGCCCAAGTGCATTACGTGCAATGATGCTGAGGACTTGCTGCTTACATTTCCCACCTGCAGCAGCTGGACAGGCTGCACAGGTAAACTGTTTGGGGGTCATCCCCAGGTGTTGTTCCATTCACCAGGCAAAAAATATATGGCTTCACGGAAAGGGAATTTTCAATTCTCTGGATGCCAGTAGTCTAAACCAAGAAAATCTCAGTTGGGTCAACGAAGGGCTGTATTTAAAGCAAACTGAAAGATCCTATTTACATCTCAACCTTATCTGAACCTAAAAAATTTTGGTGGTGTCACTCAACTTGCGCTGCGGTAAATTTAGGCCAAAACCAGGATTGGAGAAGGGGGTGTTAATACACACTACAGACACCAGAGAGCCTGAAAGAAGATTCAAGAAGAAGAGAAAAGACCAGCAGGACAGCAAGATACATTTTAAAGAGTATCTTTCCACCTGAATCCTGGGGAAACCCGCGACGCACAGCGTGGCACCCACCCTGCAGAGCCATCTGAAGCTCTATCTCACTCAGAGCTGAAAATGGATCTTGGGGCATTCAGTACCAGCCCAGTAGAGGCCCTCCTCTCCATTCAGGCTAAACTAGAATTAAATCTTGGGCAAGGCTATGTGCTTAGAAAGTCACAGACTGCTACTGAGGAGCTCTCTTTGCAGAAACAGCAGATCATCTATTTCCAGTGCCTTTCGTGGGATGTTGTACTACTGGCAAAAAATATCGCTGAGAAATTTTCTTACCCTTTTTCTCATCTTTTGAAGAGCATAATCCCAGAAAAACTTCTTTAGTGAACTACCTTGCCAAAATGAGCTGGCAGGGGACTGCAGCCTGATTTACTTTACATAACTTCAGGCACATCTTGAACATTTTTTTTGCCTTGTTATTGTGTTCATTCGTCATGCTTGTTGGACTAGTGCCCAAGCCAGCGTTTCTCAAAATTTTGATCGCTGGATCACACTACCTAGATAAAAACGGATGGTATTGGACGAATAAATCTCCTCTGGCTTCCTTGACCTTTCCCATCAAGGCTGGCAATGTGAATTATAGCTGAGCCTCTAACATGGCACAACCCCTGCCTTGGCTCCTCAAGTTCATCCACTGCAGCCCTGCCATAAGGGTTCTGACAGATGGATGGAAGGCACCCAACAGTCTTTACAGCCCTTTCCTGATGCCCTTTGGCTTTGGCCTAATCCTTCAGTCATAGATCAGGACTAACAGTTTCCAACCCGGTACAAGCTAAAAACGAAGAACAGGCTCCTGCCCTGAAAAGCCAGGTACCAGGGAGTGACAGCATTGGGACACCAGCAGGCAGATGGGCTCAAGATAAGAAAAAAAAGCAGCACCTGACTGTGAGGTGTTTTTTTTAAGTCCAGTGAAAGGTATTTCAGGGTAAGGACAGCTAAATGGTTTGCTGATGTTTATGGACTGTCCCATGTCTCAGGAATAAAATGCAGATGCAGCACAGTTGAAAAATAACATGAAAAACTGCAGAACTGGAAATTGCTTTCTGTAACAAATTCAAAGCACATTTTATTTTATAAGCACCTTGCTTTTATATGATAGCTATTTTATAATTCTTCCTCTCAAGAAAACAGAAGCGTTTTGGCATCTTCTATATAATTTAACAGCAATTTATGTGTCTGCTATGGTAAGAGATAGGCTGGGTTTCCAGGAAAAGTGAAAAATCCCACAGCTTTTTCAAGTCTTTGCCATGGGTCCTTCTGGCTTATGAATATGACTCAGTTTCAGACAGTGGAAGAGCTGTGGGACCATTTGCCTGCTGTCGTGACTCGGTGGGGAGCACTGGCTGGGCTCTCGAGTCATCCAGCAGACCTTGCTCTGCCTCGATCTCCCCAGCGTCCCCGTGCACGAGCAGCACGGCTGGAGGCAGCGAGTCCTTGGTGTGGCCGAACTGCTGCTCATCTTTGGCACTTCCAGGGTTTTCTGCAGCCTGTCTGTGTGTTCCCGCATCCCTGACACGGTGCCAGCTGGACAGCCCAGCCCGTTGAGCCCTCGCTCTCCTGGCTCCTCCAGCTACCTCCGCATCTGCCAGCCTGCTTTGCCCAGAGCAATCTGGTAGCCTGTGACTTCCTGGATCCCTTTGCTCCTTTCCTATAATGATTTCTGGGCGAGTGCTAAAATCTGAAGCAAAATCTAGGCAGGAACACATGCCTGACAGTCAGCCAAGTAACCTCAATTCAACCACGCAGACACTGAAGTTTTAAGCAGGAAACATATTCGTATTTCTAATGTTTGGCACCACACACGTTCAGGGGGACAGCTGTCCTGTTTGAGCTGAATGTCTTAGGACCTCTCACGTTGAGCCCCTTCTGAAAGCCTGGAGCTGCTGCCCCTGGAAAAGCCCAGGATCTCTGGCCTGTCCAGCACACACACAAGTCGTGGAGTTCAGCGCAGAAGAAACAGCAGCTGGGTTATCCTACTCCAATTCTCCACTGCTGGAGGTGGTGTCCCTGTCTAACCCTCAGACAGTCAATGAAGAAGGAGGAAAAGGCTGTTTTTGGCAGGAGCAAGAGCTCAGCTGAACACCTGGCTGTTATGCGGAGGACGACCTGGAACCACGTTTCAGTCATTCTTCTCCTGGTTTTGTCCCCTTCGTATTTTGTTGCCTTCAATAACTGGCTAGCTGGTTCTTCCTAGCAGATTTCTGAAACTACTTGGATCAAGCAACATTCAATCAAGTAAAAGAGACTGCTGCATACGAGATTCTCAAAGAACTAAGCTCTAAAATTGTTAAACCCTAACAAAAGGCTTTATGTAACTTATTTTAGACTTGGTCACAGGAGAGTACTGAACTCCCAGCCATGAACTCCCATTTAATTGCA